TGGAGGGCACAGTTAGCTCAGCTCCAAGTTCAGTCACCATCCGGCCATCCATCGGCAGCTCATGGCCGCTCAGCTCAAGATGCCATGTTCAATCTTAGTTTGTGGCTAGAATTTTTTTGTATGTTTTAAAATTATATTCATTGTTGGCTTGCTATGAATGTTAGCTTTGAAAAGTCTAATGACAGTCTAATTCTTTTACTTTGTAAATAATTTTTCTGAAGGACTTGAGGATTTTATCTTAATCTTTGAAATTGAATGGTTTTACTAGAATATGTCTCTGACTTGACCATTCTGGGTAAATTTTCCCAGGTACCTGGACAGCCCTTTGATATGTAAATTCAGGTGATTGTTTTTTTATTTCTGGAAAAAGTTTTTTTATTATTGTTAAATATTACTTTTGTTTGGCTGTTTTGTTTTTCTTCTTCGGGACTCCAATAATAAACACCTTATTCCTCCAATGCCTGGAATTCCATTTCAATTAATACCCCCCGACCCATTTTTACTTCTTTTTACATGTCACTGTCATTCTGTTTGTTGTTTTTCTGCCTTTCTCCAGTGCCTTTTATTAAACCTTCATTTAAGTCTATTCTCTCTTGGGTACCTTATAATTCGTTCTACATCTCAGAGAATTTTGTCTTGCTCTCCCACTTTATTCCTGAATTAATTCGCTCTCTTCATTTATCCCTGTTAGCACTTACTTTTTGAAATATGGATGTAAGGCGATTTTTCATATTCTCAAATGCTTGTTTGACTCATTCTGTTTGGAGTGTTGGCTTACAATTGTCTTCTACTTCCTGATTCATTTTCTGGGGGACATTTGATTATATTGATTTGTGTTGATTTTCATTTCCTGAATTTTTGTAATTACCATTCTCTCCCTGAATTTACTACGATCCTTTTGTTTTGGGGTTTTTTCTTATTTGTTTGTTTGTTTGTGATTGGGGAGGTTTTATGAGATGTGCAGCTCAATGGCACCCTCTTATGTCAATACAGCAAAATTGACCTAATTTAGGAGATTTGTTGTTGTTGTTATTGTTGTTGTTGTTAGTGGCAGGAATAGACAAAGAGACCTGTGATTTAGACTTCCAACTTTGTCTTGAAGAACCCTAAATCCCTCCCTTTTGCCTCTATCTCTCTGCACCACCCAGTTGCCAAAGAACTCTTTTCTTTTCCTTCTTGCTTGTCCTTTCTTCAGAAGCTATGCATTTTGAAGCATTCGTCCCTGTCCTACAGTTCACATTCTGAGCTGCTCAGATGTCATTGAAGTGTTTTCAGACTTAGGGTGCGCTTCGTCTTTCTGGAGCTAGTTCTACATCAACGTTAGAGTCATTTGCTAGTTTCTGTCTTTTGGATTCCCTGCAGACTTTCTCCATTGTTTTTTGCAGGGGTGGAGCAGAAGGGTGAGGAATCTCATGCTGCAGTTCCATGACTTTTCTCTTTTCCTCATAGTTCTTTAAGTTGTGGCATTCTCTGTCTTCAGGTATGCCAGTGACAAAGTTTTGTGTCACTTTGCTTTGCTCTCTCCTTGTTATGAGTTGTTTGGGGAGGAACTATTGGTAGACAGGTAGCTCGCACCATCGTGGGACACTGAGATTTTTCAGAGCTGTTATGATACAAATGGATATGAGTAGCACTGGTAATATTTTTCTAGGCTTACAGGAAACTCCCAATTGATCTTATTTGCCAGCGTGTAAGTAAGTGATTATAGCCAAACAGTAACAGCAAGGGGTCCAGAGCCTGCCCCAGACGCCCTGAGGGAGAGAAGGATGGGCAGTTCCAGCACGCCCATTTCTGACTCAGCCTGTCCCAGGTTCGGTGTCCCCTACCTCCACCTCCCCCGGACCCAGGAGTCCAGACCCCAGACCCAATGTCCCCAATACCAAGAATCCAGGCCTTCAGCCCCAACCCCAGCCCCCAATCTCCGGGACCTAAGAGACCAGGTCCCTAGTCCCTAACCCCCAAGGACCAAGGAGGTCAGGCCCCAATCCTCTGCTCTCCCAGGACCTAGAAGTCCAGAACACCAGTCCCCACCTCCCCCAGTACCAGGAACATAGGCCCCAGTTGCTCCCTGCACCAGGACCCATGGACCCCGGTCCCAATCTTTGACCTCCCTCACCCCTGACCCCTGACCCACACTAGCTGCCTGGCCCTTTGAGCTACCTTTCTGTTGGGATCTAGAGTCTTTTGGAGGATAGCTCTGTCCTATAACTGTTCATCCCTGGCTCCACTGAATTTACTAGTTCAGCATCTGCTAGGTATGCTTGCTATCCCTCCCCAGAACCTCAGCGGTCACCCCACCCAGTCAAGCCCCCAGGACCACACAGTCTGGCTGGACTATAACAATGTGCCCAACTCTGGGACCGCCTCACTTTGAGGTCATCCATGTCTGCCATCTTTTCTTTTTCTCTGCTGTACCTTCTTTTCTTTCTTGGACAGCCTGTTTTGTGTCCGCACTCTCTTCTGCTCCAAACTCCATCCCACTCAAGAATCAAAATAAGGGTGGATTGGGGAAGTTCCTGGACAGAGGTTGTTGCTAAGCAGAGGGGGAGCCAGGAGGCACAGTGGTGCCATTAGAGATCACATTTGGATGCAACATCATCATGATGATTCATTTTTTCTTTTTTTTTTAAATTATAATTTATTGGGGTGACAGATTATTTATTTCCAATGGAAATTCTGTCCCCATTAAATGAAAACCCCTCATGCCCCTCCCACACACCCTCTCGTGCCAACGGGTCGCCTTCACCTGGGCCCTGAAGCACCCTTTCTTTCCTGTCATTCATCCTCTTCCTGCCTCCAGTATCTGATCTGGAGTCTGGAATGTTTGGAGACAGAGGGAGTCCACTGTGAGGCAGCCAAGGCAGTTGGCCATTCAATGGGCCAACCTAACTCCTGAACTCCCAGACAGCTGGACTGAGTGGCTGCTGACCTGGAGGTGTGAGCAGGGTGAGGGCCCAGCCCTGCTGTAGAAGAGGCAGCTTCACCTAGCCACAAGCTTAGGCACTGCCTGGCCTGACCGCCTGGGTCCAAATCTCAGCTCTTCCACTTGGGCTCTGTGTGACCTTGAGCCTATTCCCCAACCTCTCTGAGCCTTGTTTGCGCATCTGTAAACAGGATCATCATAGCACCCCTCCTGTAGGGTCATCGTATGGATTAAATTAGATAATGCCTATAAAGTTCTTGGGAAAAAACTGTATGCATATTTTTTTTAGTTGTAAGGAAATTATTTAAATCAGTGAGATATTTCATGTATGAGCATAAATTTACACATCCTAAGCAAAGTCACAGTGCTATGGAAGTAGGATGTTGCCTACTTTCCTTGTGCCCTGGAATGGTTTGGTGATGTACACCTGTCGAGGTGGTATAATGATTCGAGGCAGGGGTGGAGCAGTCCACTCCAGGTGCAAACCATTGTCATCTGTAGAGAATTTTATTACAACAATAAAACAGACTAAAAGTCTCTTTACTGACTATTCCCACAAATCGGCAATTCTACACAATGTCAATGATGAAACACTCCTGTCCCCCCAAATCTTTCATGGGTCTAAATTCTAAACTAGTACTGTGGTTGCTATTGTGTGTTTTTTAAACTGAAATATAAACCACATACCATAAAATTCACCCTCTGAAGTATATAATTCAGTGGTTTTTGGTATGTTTGTGGGGTTGTGCCATCACCACTACCTAATTCCAGAACATTCTTTTCTCACCACAAATGAAACTCCATACCCATTAGCAGTCACTCTCCATGACCCATCAGTCACTGTTGAGTTTTAACAGCATTATCTGTAAGCTTCAAACAAGCACATTTCTCTTCCTTTCTCCTATATGGAAGTTAGTTCTCAGAATTCCAATATGTGTAATAAACTGCTGACGCCTACTCACTCAGCAACATAGTTTTTTAAAACTTGTTCTTATCATGGTAAAATATACATGACATAAAATTGACCATTTTAACTACTTTTAAATGCACGTTCATATTTTGCAGAACTATCCTCACCATCCATCTCCAGAACTTCCCGTCTTCTGAAACTGACACTCTGTCCCTTAAACACTCCCTCCCTCCCCCTGCCCCAGCCCCTGGCTCCCACCATCTACTTTCTGTCTCTATGAATCTGATCTTCTGGGAACCTCCAATGAGTGGAATCACACAGTATCTGGCCTTGTGTGTCTGGCTTCTTTCACTAAGCATAATGTCCTCAAGGTCCATCCATCTTGTAGCTGGTGGCCAATTGGGTCTTTTTAATTTGGCACTATTACGAATAAAGCTTCTATGAATTTTTTGTTTCCTCCTTGATACTACCTTATACTCTTTGGATAACAGTGTGGCCTGTGGAGGTGGACTGTCTGGGTTTGAATTCTAGCCCCACGATTTCCCAGCCATGTGACTAGGCCACAGGCCTAACTCAGTTTTCTGGAAAATGGAGGCCATAGTATCTACTCCGTGGTGGGAAGGGTAAATGAATTGTATATAAAGCAGTTAGAAAAGCGCCCCACACTATAATGGGCATAAATAAACATAAGCAATTGTGATTCAGCTGCAACTTTCAAAGTCAGCAGAAATCACAATAAACGTGACATTCAGAAAGCCAAGTCAGCAGAGCCTAAAGTTCAGAGGGTCAGTGGTTTCCAGAAGATTGGGGTTGCTGCCTACTCACTTCTGTTCTACATGGAGAAGGAATAACAAATTAACGTCACTTTCCATGTTACCGGATTTCATCAAAAGCATCCCACAGCTGGCCCTGGAATGAGCAGACCAGTCCTTCTCGCTGTCCACCCGACCCCAGACCACCCCCAGCACTGCCTGGCATTCCTGGAAGGTCCAGCCCATCTTATTCCTTATTAGAATAGAAGCCCCCTTCCTCAACCTTTCTGGTGATGTGTCAATTCCCAGTTCCCTATTTCCTTTCTGAGTGGAAGTAGATGGGGGGACTGAGCAGCCCAGGCTCAGATATAAAAGCCGTGGTCCTCTGGATCCTGGACAAAGCATTTGGAGACAGTGGTGGACGTGTGTGACCCCAAGGAACCGATGGCACAGCAGATCGGCTCCCTGGGTAAGGCTGGTTGGGATTCTGGGATCTTGGGTTGGTGATTAAGGAGATGGCTAGGTCTGGTCTCAGCTCGTCCAGGCTCTGAGTCAGTGCTCTGCCCACTCAGAGGATGAAGATCTGATACTCAGCAGCAACAGACTCTCCCCTCCAGCCTTTGGATTCCAACAGATCCTTGTCTTCAAGACTTTCACAGGTACAATAGGATTAGGAAACGGGGAACAGGGGACAGATGACTACTGCCAGATTCCTGGGTCCTGGGAAAGTGCAGGCTGGGGGTCTAGACTCCTAAGTATTGGAGAAGGTGGGGGCTGGGCCCTGGACTCCTGGATCTTGGAGAAGGTGCAGGATGAGTTGTGGAGGAGGTGGAAGTTAGGGGACAAGCTGTCCATGGGGCAGGCAGAGGCAGGGGCACAAGAATGCTGGAATGTTTCATCCTTCTCTCTCTCAGGCCGGGCCCTCCTTGTGTTGCTGCTTTTCTCTTTCATACTCTTCACTGGACTCCTGATGGCCATCTTTATCCAAGGTCAGAGGCAGGCCCTGAAATCAGGGGCTCCCAGGCATGGGCCCTTTGGCTACGGGTATAGCCTTGGGCAGGAGAAGGGGACAAGTCCCAGAAGGAAGTGGGGTTGAAAGCCAGGACTCAGGTCCCTGTGGGTTTCCCTGGTCAGCTTTCTGGGGACCTGTTACACAGCCCCTTCCACCTCTGTGGTACAGGAGTGCAGGGGAAGAGAGGGAGAGGGGCAGAGGGAGGATTTCTGGCTCCACCTGTCCTTCTGGTGTGAACTTCTCTGGACATTCAATTTCCTCATCTTCTAACAGGACTAACCAAGACCTTGACTCTACAATGTCCCTGAGGGTCCAGTGTAGGGCATGATGCAGAATAGGTGTTTAATAATTGGTTTCTTTTTTTCTTGCATAGTCTCCAACATCTGCAGACCCCATGAGATGGAACCCTCGAAACAGGAGATCTACCAGGAACTGAACCAGCTGAAGTCTGGACTTGGTAAGTGGCCAGAAACCGGAGTCCAAGGACCTGAAAGGGACTTTGTTTTGTGTGACTCTGTTTGCATCATGGTTTCATTATGAACATCAGCTCCTCATCTGTGAAATAGGAACACAGAATAACGAGGATGATGGCACGTGGTGTCCCCGGGGGCCAGGCATACAGTGGGCACTAAATTAAACCAGTCTCTTGTTCTGAGCTATAAATGTTCTATTCCTCCCAGCCCAGAAGAGATGAGAGTTCGTCCTTCTGCATTCTCTGGGGGCTGAGAGGGAGTCGCGGGAAGTGGAGAAGGGAATGGTCCATGTGGCATGTGGAGTCAGGAGGGACCCCGGCTCTCAAGGGATTAGAGTGGGCAGGTGCAGGGATAGGGGTGTCCGTGGCTGGGTCCCAGCCCTGGCTCGCTTTCCCTAACAGCTCGCCTGTGCCGCCCATGTCCTTGCGAGTGGACCTTCTTCTTAGGAAACTGTTACTTCTTCTCCAACTCCCAGAGGAACTGGCATGAATCCGTCATTGCCTGCCAGGACGTGGGGGCCCAACTCGTGGTGATCAAAAGTGCCGAGGAGCAGGTACACCTGTCCTACCGGGGATCTGACCTGGCCAGGGGCATGCATGTGACCACTGGTCAACTGGGGACGAGATGATCAGAGCGGATGTTCTGGGAGAGAGGCTGCTTAGTCCACTTGGAAAGGTGGGGAAGGGAAGAATATGAATGAGAGGGTCCCAGGCAATTTGCAAGGAGGTACAAACAAGATCTGAACATGTGTGAGTGTTTTAGGGGACACATAAAATATAAGTAAACCCCAGCGGTGTGCTGTAAAATGGTTAACAGCTAGCTCTTTGGGAGGGCAAAAGCCCTGATCTGTAATGTTGGCCAATTTCCCTGGTGTGAATTCTCCCACCATGGCTGATTTCAAGCTATCAACGTGATGTCATTCAATGCAGAGCTGAAAAGAGACGTGCATGAGCAGCTTTCACAGACTGGTTCCTTCTGGTTCCAGAACATTCAACCGAGGCTGAGTAAATTCGTGTGGACATGCTTAGCGCATGTAAGACCCATAGCCATGTCGTGTTACCAAGTATGCGTGATGAGAGTCCAGTTGTGCACTTACGTCTGCAAGTCAGAACAGATGTGCTCATAGGCTACAGATGTGAGAGAAATTCAGACACCCTGAGTGCACGTAGGGGCCCAGGATCTGTCAAACTAAAAGGCTGAAGGTCAGACTAAAGAAAGAAGTTCCCACCAAGAGATTTGGGAGATGCTGAGCCCGGGAAGCGGGGGGGATGAGCTCCCTCCTGACTTCTCTCCATCCACCAGAACTTCCTGCAGCTGCAGATCTCCAAAAGTAACCACTTCAGCTGGATAGGGCTCTCAGACCTGAAACATGAAGGGACATGGCACTGGGTGGACAATTCAACCCTGTTGACCAGGTAAGTCTCAGGCAAAGGGGACCCTCTATTAAGGGGAGTGAACCCTGATGTGAGCTTTACCTGGGGATCCTCCCCTACTCCCTGAGTGGACCTAAGAGTCTGGGATTTTCACTGAGTTGAGGAAGGTGGTCTCCACATGCCCATGTCCCAATAGCATAGCAGGAGCCCAAAATTGCACCCTCAGAACTTCAGTAGGAGCTTGCAGGCTGAGTGGGTGTATGTGAGCAGACTATCTGAGGTATAGTGAGGCCTACAGGTCAGATCACATTTGAAAAGATAGTTTGTTATGGTCACAGATTCCACGAGAAGAAACACACATCATGGTGCAGAGGTGCCCCATGGGGAAGCACCAGGGTTGATCTGGAGGCACAGGGGGTGAAAGAACTGTGGGCAAGAGTCTTTATTGTGGTTTTCATGAAAAGGAGTGGGCAAGGCAGTATGAGCAGGCTAGAATTGGATCATTTGAAAATTTTCAGCAGGCTCTGGGGCAGAGGGGCTGACCCTAGTTGTCTGGGTCTGGCCCTAGGATGATCAGAAGAGGGGGATAGTGGTCCTGAGTGTGAGGGCCTGATTACTAATATGGTTGGAGGGTGTGGGCTCTGGATTGGTTGGTTTATGTTTGAAAAGCATGTTCTGGAGAGAAGGGCTCCTGCTAAAATTGTAGGGGCAGGAGGCCAAAGCAATTTGACCCAGGCATGTCATGGGGCTGTCCAGAACAAGGCAAGCCCATTATATATGTGTGCAAGGCCTTAAATGAAAGCATCATGTTAACAGAAGCTAGAAACACCATTAACAGAGTGGGATGGGGGCTAATGGTCTGGGTGGCCTTTGAAGCTTCCAAGAGTATTGGAACAAAGGAGAACCTAACAGCCAAGGGGAGGAAGATTGTGCAGAATTCAAGGGCAAGGGCTGGAATGACTCCAAATGTGGCAACAGCAATCTCTGGATCTGCAAAAAGCCCGCAGTTTCCTGCTCTGGTGACTGAAGACTGGATTCTGTCCTTGATCCCTGCTTCTCCAACCCCTCCCCTGCCGCTATTGCAGAATTTAGCCATGTCTACGCCATGTTCACCCGTGTTCCTTCTGGTCTGTGCATGCTGAGATCTTTACAAAAGCTCAGGGACTCTACCATGTCAAGCTTCTCATCCTCTATGGGCTCAGCTCTGTCTCTTCTTGATGCCTTGAGGTTGTCCTTGGCTCAGAGTTCTTGTTCTTGGGAACTTGGAGATCTTAAAAATAAAAAGAAAGAAGAAGAAGAAAAGAAAAAATGATCAGCTTAAAATGGAGTCAGTTGTGCTAAGCCCCATGTGAGCAAAGCAGGACTTCTTTGCAGTTTCAGCCCCTCCCAGGAATGTGACCTTTAACCAGTCAACCTGGAATTTCCTGGTCAGCACTAGTGAAGTCATGTGCCTGAGAGACTCCTTGCCTTCCCCTAGGGCAGCGGTTCTCAACCTTCCTAATGCCACGGCCCCTTAATACAGTTCCTCATGTTGTGGTGACCCTCAACCATAAAATTGTTTTCGTTGCTACTCTATAACTGTAATTTTGCTACTGTTATGAATCATAATGTAAATATCTTTTCATTTTCTGATGGTCTTAGGCGACCCACAGGTTGAGAACCGCTGCCCTAGGGGAAGGTGACCTTGCCTGAAATAATCGACTCTTTTAATTTCCTTGTCCCGCCCTCCTTCTGCCTATAAAAACCATGCATTTTGTCCAGCTCCTCAAAGCTCCTTGCTACTTGTCAGATGAGATGTTGCCTGGTCCATGAATCATTCAATAAAGGCAACTAGATCTTCAGATGTACTCCACGAAAGCTTGGTTTTTAACAGAGCTTCATGAAGTGACCAGGTGTGGGATATGATGGGGGCTGGTGTGTTCCATTATCTGCTCTCTCTGCCTTGACAAGATCACATGCTTGGATGGCCCTGTGTAGCTGTCATGGCCCCTGGAGCTTTATCACATTCATGCGTCTTCCCAACACTATTCTGCCATCACCTGCTCCCTTCTGAAGACCCCCCCTGATTGCCGGAGCTCATCCTGAAGGCAGGAAGCACCAGGGAGTTAATGACCCTGGTCAACCAGTGACTGTCGGGAGTTGGCATATAGGTATCCCAGCTCCCTCCTCCCTCAGTGGTGTGATGGGCCCTGGGGTGGGCCACCCAGATCCGCTTCAAGGAAGGAGGTGTTGCCCCAGCTGCTGGAACTGCTGCTGGCAGACAGGCAGCAGGCCTTTGGGACTACTCAGCTGCAGGGGGCCACCTGACCCCAAGTCGTGTCTCTTCCTGGCATAGCTCACACTGGTACAGGGGGACAAAGGTCTGGTCAACTTAGCCCAACCTGGGGACCATTCTGGGTCACCTGAGGATGTTGTCACCTCTGCCCCGTTCAACTTCTGCTCATTCCTTCTTCCTTCCTGTGGTGGAATGAAAAGAGATTTAGTCTTTGTCCCTGCTTCCTGGCACAGGGCTCCTAAAACGCTTGGAATTTGCTGAGTGGTAGGGGTGTCTTCTGTTATTCATAAGGAACCTGTTTGACCACGCTTGAGTTTATTTTAGAGATGGGACCACTGGAGAGCCTCAGGATGCAGCTGGTCACCAGAAAGACCAAAGCTGTGATAGAGGATTGGGACATTCAGCCCCCCCTACTGCTCTGGGGGTGGGGGGCTGGAGATCCAGCGCTATAAAAACCCTTCAACAAGGAGATTGGATGAGCCTCTGGGATGGTGATCACCTCAAGGTGCTGGGAGGTGGCACCCCTGGGGAGAGATAGAAGCTCCATGCACCCCCACTTCCCCCACACCCCGCCATGAGCATCTCTTCCATTTGGCTGCCTCTGAGTTGTATCCTGTATAATAAACCAGTAAATGTAAGCAGTGTCATTTTGAGTTCCATGAGCCATTCTAACAAATGAACAAACCCAAGAGTGGATCATTGGAACCCCCAAATTTGGAGTCAGTATGCAGAAGTGTGGTTAGCCAGGACACCCCATTTGCAGTTGGCATCTGATGTGGGATCAGTCTTGTGGACTGAGCCCTTTAACCTGTGGGATATGAGCTATCGCCAGGTAGATAGTGTCAGAATTGGAGAATTGCTTGGTGTAAAAAACATTGCAGAGATTTCGTTCCATTACAGGTGCTGACTCTGTACCTAGTTCCAATGTGGGGTGTGGTGCTGGAGTCTCCCTACACATTCAAGCAGTTCTCTGACTCCAGGGTGGTGTCCTACAATTCAGCTAACATCTGACACGGTCTATGTGGTGATAACACCAGATCCCACAGGTTAAGGGCTGGGTCCCTCAAGACTGCCCCACCCTTCAGAGACCAATCGCAAGTCCAGGTTGTCACCTGGGCTTCTGACCAACTGGCTATAGATCAGAGGTTCCAATGACCACCCCCCAATCCCTCTTGGGTTTGAGGAATTTGCTAGAATGGCTCACAGAACTCAGGAAAACACCTTGCTTACTAGATGACCAGTTTATTATAAAATGGTAGATGAGAAGCAGCCAGATGGAAGAGATGCCTAGGACAACGAGTGGGAGGGGTGGAGCTTCCGTGCCCTCTCTGAGCACCACTCTCCCCAAATCTCCAGGTATTCAAAACTCGGAAGCTCTTCAAATCCTGTGTTTTGCGGTTTTTATGGAGACTTCATTACACGGGCATGATTGATTAACTCATTGATGATTGGAGATTGAACTAAATCTGCAGCCCCTCTGATTCTAAGAATTCACCGGTAAGTCAGATATTTCTGTGGATTCCTGGAAATGGCCACTTATTAAATTAAGAAGTTTTATCCCAGTTTTTGTTGACTAAGCATTTGTTTTCTTGTGTTTATCCTTTTTTAAAATAGAGAATGCATGCAGAAAGACATATCTCATAATTGTAACATGGAGGGACAAAAACAAATAGTGGAAGGATATGGACCATGTGGTACCATTTGTTTAAAGCTTCCAGATGTGCAAAACACCCCAATATATTGTCTAAACGGATACACAGTGACAGTATGTTTTAATATGATGAATATCAAGTCTGGGAGGACAGTTGCCTTGGAGGATGAGGAGAGAAATTGGACAATGAAGGGATACGTGGGCTTCCACTATCTGTTATGACTTACTGACTTTTTTTGTTTCACTGCCTCTTCGATCAGGTTTTTATTCAAAATTAGCTATTCAAAGTGATTTGAGCTTTACGGAATAAACAAATTTTAAGTTCATGCTGCAGGCTTCTTTTCTTCTGTGGTGGGTTTCTTTTCTGCGGGCTTCTTCTCAGATGCTGGTTTCTTGGTAGCTTGCAGCTTTTTGTCCCACCAAAGGCTTCTTCTGCTTTGTGAAGCCACCAGCCTTGTTTTCTTTCTTCCCTACCGCTGGCTTCTTGCCTGGAACCCCCTTCTCATCTGATTTGGCTTCTAACACTGCTGCGGCTTTATCCACCTGGAGCTGGTGGTTCCTGGCCTGGTGAAGAATGTGTTCCAGTGCATGGTCTTTGCATGTGGTTTCAGCGTCAACCCAAATGATTCTCAGGTTTTTCAGTGGATTCTTGCTTCAGGACTCTGCAGCGACTCTCTCGTGTGGTGTTCGGAGGGTGTCTGAGCTTTTCAAGATTCTGCTAAGGCCTGTACTGAGTGTCTTGTGTGTGTGGGAAGATTGTAGTTGCTCTTGAGGGAGGCAGCTTTACGCCAACTGCCATATAGATCATCTAACTTGCAGAAAGCACTTTCAGCCCAAATGCAGAAATGGCCCACATGCCCACCAGGCGCAAGTTTCAAAGTGTTCACTTTACTTACATTAAGCCGAGTAATTTAGGGATGTTTCTGAAGGCTCTGATGATGCCATTATCCTCATTATAGATGACACAAGGTCCCCTGCCCTGGATATGATGACAGTTTTCCATTTTGCCCTTGCCAGTTCTCATTTGCTGAGAGGCATAGACCTTTTGTGTTTTTTTTTTAATTTTTATTGGGGAGTTGGGGGAGGGGAACAGCGTTGGGGAATTGGGGAAGGGGA